AGAAAATTACTAATGTTACAAATGTAAAAGTTACATTAACGTTATCTGAAGCTGTTTGATACGCGTAGTACGCCTTAAGTAGTGATCGGGTACAAGTTCTCAGCAACCAGCTCGTTCGAATGGAACCCGTCCGTTAACTGAGGAATGACTATGGACTTTTGATGATTAAAAAAAAAAGTATTCTTTTTTGTTCTTTTCTTTTTAACATAGAACTGTAGATTTAACTATATAGATAAAATTCCTGGTTTACTTGTGCAGAAAATAAAGTCAGTGACAAATAAATCCGTCATTTATGACGACGCGGGTCATGTCAAAGTTCATTGTGTACTTTTACCTTTAATGATTAAAAAAAACAGAATCCTTTCTTAAAATGCGTCTATAGACTTGATTGTATAGATAAAAATCATAGATTACTCATGCAGAAAATATAAAAAATGCAACTGCAAAATTACCGAAATATTATCTTTACTTTTGACAGTCATGTCGACTTTTGAGGGATATTTTTGCCTGTAAATGATTTAAAAAACATTTCTTTCATACATGCAACGAAAGAATGAAGTGTCTAGATAAAAATCCTAGCTTACTCATAGAAAAAATATACAATTACTTCCATTATTTTTTGTTAGTAACATAAAGATTTTAGGTTGATGCAAACGTTCCTAGCAGCAACTTTGCACAATGTTATAGACATCTGAGAAGTGTCTTGTAATATTTTTTCAGCTATTTATAGCTTGTGCGCGTACCACATGTACTGCATCAGGAGGTGTGTCTAGGACAAGATACCTTGATACAATTATTTGCGGAAAAGTAATCAATTTTGCGTCGTTTATTTACCTGATTTACACACGTTTTTTTCTCCTTATTTTACAATCTATAAGCACTTTTAATGGCTTTATTGCCTTGTCTGGGGTTGTAGATACTTGTGTGTATCATATCGGGAGGTTACCAGTGTACATGCATGGTAGGATTTTCTTTAATGGAAACTTTGGAAAATAATGAACTATGTGAATAGTATAAAATAAATACATTTTTTATTTATTTTCTTTAGAGTGATTCCTTTGGTATTTGGTGTAGGGAAATGTTCGTTTATAAGGCGGATATTGATTGCAGTCTGGAGAAAGTCCGGTAGTGGTCGTTTTGAAGACTGACCTTGCTAGGGGTAAGTGATAATATTAGAAATAGATGAGGGTCAATCTACTGGGGTTTTCTCGGTGTTTAGCAGGGCAGAAATATCATTAGCGGTTGACATGTTGATTACTTCTTTACAGGTCACGCATGGTAAGTTACTCCACGGTAGTGTCTTTTTGTTATTACACTCGCCGTCACTTCTACTTATAGCTCTGAGGTGTCAGCTGATATCCTTTTGATCAGGTTCCGAGACTCTGGCGCAAACATTGGTTTCGGCTAATATCAAAAGTTCCTTTGTGCCATTTTTTTTGATTGACCACAATTATTTTATTTTCCATCGTTCCTTTCTTTTTCATTTTTTTTTTTTTTTTTTATAACGGAAGTTATTTTAGAACCTTCTTGATTTTTGTTTTGGGTCATAAAATAGCATGCTCTGTTCCGCAAACCTCCGACTTTTATCGGCTGGGTTCAGCTTTTTATTCTTACTCTTTTTATTTCTGGGTTGCCTTATTAGTCGAGAGAGGTAATATATATATATAATTTCGGTTGAGCTCTTGGGGAGAAAAGTGAATTTGTAAACAGTGGCTGCTGCTGATGGAAAACTCTTCGTTAAGACGACGAGTCGAGTTATCCCAGTCACTGGCGTGTTTATCTAAAAATAAATACGTCTAAATTCACCTTCATCCCTGCGTGAATAGCTTAGGGGTAGAGTCGCCAACTGATAACAAATCAGTCGGGTTTTGATCCCGCCTTGAGGCAATCGGATGTCTAGCTTCACTGATGAGCTGTGAAATAGCCTGTCTGTGGATCACACACTCACACACACACACACACACACACACACACACACATATATATATATATATATATATATATAAAAAAAAATACAGGGTGACCAAAAAAAAAAAAAAACAGGAACTTTTTAACAATCCAATAAAACCAAGAGTGATGGAAGAAAAATATTTTATTCATAGTAATTGAAACCTTAAAACATGCCATTTAAGAAACAATGATGGAATTTTCATGTTTTAAAAATTACGTCCTGTAGATGGCGTCCTCCTGTACGAATGCATTCTTGAAATCTGCTGTTGAAATTCCTCATCGACTGCTGCAACATCTCAGCTGGGATACTGTGAATGTCATCTTGAATTCTAAAGGGCGAAATGTTTACTTGCTCAAGGTAAATGTCTCGCAATGTTGCCACTTGCTTATGTCTGGCAATGCGCACTTCAAAAATTCCCGTTTTTTTGGGGTCACCCTGTATATATATATATATATATAGAGAGAGAGAGAGAGAGGGAGGGGTTTTAAAGAAAAGCGCAAAGGCGTTATTTGAATTCTTTTTATTTTTGTTTATCTATTTTATTTTCATATTTTATTTTCATCGGTACTTACTACAGTACGAAACGATTAAAAAAAAACAAAAAAAACATTTTATTTATTGGTCCTGATGATGCTTAAAGATCCTCCCCCCCACCAAAAAAATGACATTGGTTGATATATAAAAGCATTGAACGATACTAGAGGAAATGTTAGTTTTTGTGGCGTGACCAAAGCATTTTCAACTTCTTTTTCTTGATAGTGGTTATGGTTTATATTTGCTGCCAAATTTTACAGCTAGCCACTTTTTTGATACGTGTAACAGTGAGCAAAAAAAAAAACCAAAAAACAAATCTACCGTATTTTATAATGTTTAAGTCCCCTTTGGTGTGAAAGAAGGAGAGAGAAGACAGGGAGAAATAATGAATTATGTAAACTTTCTTTCCTGCCAAGAGGTCACTGCGGAAGGAGTAAATGAGCGAAATGGAAGACAACGGGATGAGGGAAATTTATTAGACGAAACGGGGGAAGTAGGTTGCATTATTTGAGAATAGTTGGAGGCATAAAGGGTTGTGAGGAAAGTGACACTTTAAACATGTTATGTAAGTGTGAGGCAGAGGAGCAGGGCGCGACGAAGCAAAGAAATAAAGGAGTACAATCGGTATTGTAATTTTTTGCCGGAAACCAGTTGATTGACCAAAATTTACAACTCCAGAAGAAAGAAATCAGTGTATAAACGTTACATACAGGGTGCGATGGATAAATTATCGTCTAATTTACGCAAAAATGAAAATAGCACTGATATCTCATTTTAACAGATATATTTACCAAGATTACACAAAAATATCTGGAAATACTAAAGAGTAAATTTATTCAATAAAATCGCCGTTAGCTCCAACCAAGGTGTCCAGACCACTTCGGAATCTCCTGCAAATCTTCTGAACGGTCTCTTTGTTTAATTTGGTGAATGCTGACATAATCCTTGCCTTCATTTCATCTTTGGTGTTACAAGGACTTTTGTTGATCTGACGCTCAAATGCACCCCACATATAAAAATCAAGGCGGGAAAGTTAGGTGGCCAGATGTAAGGAGTGATGTGGTCGCAGAAATTGTCTGACAGCCAGACTGGGTTCTCTTGCGTGTGTGGCATGGTGCAGAGTCTTGTTTCCAGACATATGGTCTTCTGGTAGTCATCCTCTTGACACAGGGCAGCACTACTTGCTCAAGGCGCTTGATGTAGACCTGTCTGTTGAGACTGAAGCACTGTAAGAAGATGAATGAAGGCAAAACGTCACCATAACTAGTGATCACTTTAAACACCATGATGATGACATTTTCCGAATCCTCTGCATTGACCTCAGATTGACACCCAACCACTCTGAAATGTTCGTATTGGAGCTTCTGGTGCGAATGTCAAGCAGTACAGCATGCCGTTTTCAAATTTCACGCGTTCTCTTCTGACGGACGATGCCCAACAGACCCTACTATACTGTGCCGTCGACAAAATCAAGACCAAACAACGCGTATGCGTGAAATTAAAAATATAAAATGGCGACAATTTACCTATCACCCCCCTGTATATGTTTTTTTCGTTTCATTCCTTTTTTTTTTATACTTTCTTCTGTTTTCTTTTTAAGTGCTAAAAAATGGGTGGCTATCTTAGAAATTACAGGTGCATGGTGAGTGTTGATAACTTTCTTTCTTTCGGTCAAATCATATCTCATCATATATATTTAATATATCAAGTATTCTATGTACAATTAAATTCAGAAGTAATCTATGACGACGAGATAAACATTATCTTTCCACATACCTCAGCTTCGCATATCAGACCCATGATATATTTTCGAAACGTACTTTTAGGGAGAGGGAAGTATGATTGATTGACTTGTTTTTTACGGTTTATCAACCTTTTGTAAGTTATTTAAAACTATAAAATATTTTTAGAAATAAGTTTTTATAAGAATTTTTTTAAAAATAATAATGATTTACTGATACAAGTCCTACTATAATTAAATCATAGCTGTAAGGAGAAGAGGAATAGATTCTCCTATCGTTCGGTTCACAGTTCTCCCTGGTCTTTTGAACAGGAATAGTTTAATCCTTTGTTTCTATTTAGGATTGCCTTTCCAGTTCCTTCTAAAATCTACTTCAAGTATATACGTTTCCGCCTAAACACTGAAATTTTATTTGCTATTTATTTATTCTCAGTAGGAGTAGATAGGTTCGCCTATCGTCCTGTTTATACTCTTCTCCTGTTTTTTGAACAGGGGGATGCGGTTATCACTTGTTTCCTGTTTAGAATTGAGTTTCCGGTTCCTTCTAAAGCCTTTTAATTCTTTTTCATTCCCAGTCGCCCCTTGCATCTTAGTGGCAGTATCGCCTTGATTGAGGCGAATTAAAAAAAGAAGAAAAGAAAAGAGAAGTGGATTCATACCTTTCCCAAGAGTATTTGCGAGTGTGAATATAACGAACACAACTGGAATTAGAACTCGGCTCTCCGATTTCCAATTCCGGGCTGTTATACATTACACCACCCGCACATGCAAATTTACAGCACCTGGTATTCCAAAGCAGTTACCAATCTAGGTTCTAACAAGGTTTGACGTTGCTTAACTTCGGTGAGCGTACGAGAGCCGGTGTTTCAACGTGATATGGTCGTAATCCTGGAAAAGGATATCTTGCATATCATGGCATACAGCAGTCTGTAAAAGTAAAAAAAAATCCCCAAAAAACCTCTTATTTGAATGAATAGTTAAAGTTTTAATAGAATAATAGTCATTTGTGTGGTTCAGTTAATTATGTGCAATGCGTGAAACACGCTTAGTCGATCATGTATCTTTCGATACATGACTGACGAGACAGATTTTTTTCCACAGTAGGTTGACCTTTCTGCGGTAGACCAGTTGCCATTTAAGGCTATAGAGCCTGGTCTGTCCTGCTATTTACCCATAGCTGGGGAGGAGAAGAAGCGGATTCATATCATCCCGAAGAGTATTCAAAGCTCTTCGTTTCTTCAATCCGAACCACTATCCATTACTCCACCTTGCCTTTGTGTGGTTATTTTGTGCAATTGTTAAAAAAAAACCCAGTGTTTTGTTCCTTCAAACTTTGTAAATAAGACTTCTTTTTTGATGTTAATTGCTAAGAATACTAATATTTCAATCTCTAAAATTTCTCATCGGGTGTCCAGTCTATTTTCTTATTCTATGCGCCATGTCCTTTCTGGTGGTGTACTATCACAACTCTACTCTTATCCCTCTGAGCCCTTAGCAGCGTTTGACCCTTTACAAAGTCCCCCAACTCTCGTTTCACTATCCATTCACACGAGCTCATCAGGTAGAGGTGGCCCGCTGCCTTCCCTTATCTCCCTTGCTCTTCATATGTCCTGTGAGGGTAAAGTTTTTCAAGCCATCCATCCTTAAATTTTTTCTAAGAAATTTCAGCTTTCTGATTCTAAGTGTCTTTATTGTTTCCATTTTTTCTTAAAATTTCCTCGTTTCTTACTCGCTTCGTCCATAGAATTTTCAGTAACCTTTATAGAACCACATTTCTGCTATCTCCATTTCTTTTTTTCATCTGTGTGGAGATTGTTCCTCATTCACTGCCTTACAAGCTGATTTATATCTCTTCATTTGTGAAGCATTCGCCGTGTAAAGCTACCATGAAGTAATGAAATCCACAGCTAACTTTCAAGGCATGCTCTTAAGAGTATCTGTAAAGAATGAAGGAAAAATTGATCTTACTCTGCTGGTAGATTAGCGAGTGTGTGAGGTGTACTGTTTACTCCATGTGCATCGATTGAACGGAACGCTAACTTTAGCGTCCTGTCCAGATATTGGCTTGTAGTGAAAAAGAACTAGCTTTTTCAGTTATACAGCACGCATGCTTTCATTTTTTTCCTTTTATGCATGCCCAAACGCTAAAAAGAGATTATTGCCGCTGATATGGTTTTTCACGCATCCGTGTCTGGCAAAGGGGTTTAATGTCTGTTACAACAGCCATACAAGAGGATTGATATCACATAGAAATTCGGCATTCTTTTCTTTGTCTCTCACAAAGTTTGTGTTTTTTTTTTTTTTTTTTTTTTACTATGCTCAGCTTTTGAAATGCATCTTTCGCTAATCCGTTGGACTTTTTGTATTTCGGTTGCTGCATTTCCCATTCTCTGTCGAAGCTCTTCCCAGAACTTTTAATAAAATTTACCGATTCTTTTAACGTTCACCTACCACGAAGGTGTTACTAACGGACACCGCTGATCTGTCAGCTTCTCCAAACTACTAATTAATATGCCTTGTAAATATTTACACTGTCAAGCTAAATAAGTTGATTTAAGACTTATTGTTTTTTAAACATCCGCTTACAATGGCAGACGTTGTAAATTGCTAAACAGGATCAATGTTATGCGTAAAGTAAGAAATATACCCATAGAAAATGAGTTTTATTTGACGATAAATGTAACTTGAGATAACATAGTTGTGTTAAATTGAAGTGAAAAAGTCCGAGTAGACATTCATGTTGCTTGATCATCGCTGATTTTACATGTATAAGATTTGATATTTTGCCCTCTTATCATTCTATTTATCAAATCTATCTATCCACAGGAAGTCTTGCTCAAAAATTAGGGCAATTGGAACATGTTATATATTCATGAATTATTCACACAAAAACAAATGCAAAGGTTAATGATTTAATTGGCGAGAAATCCGTCGTCGCAAACAATTCAAATAATATACAAAAACCTCCGAATCCGTTATGAATGAAAAGATCCTTGTTTCTATAAATTTCTGCCGTATTAGTTCTTATTTTTACTACAAGCTTTCGTCTGTTCCTACAGACATCTTCAGGTATGGAATAGATGTTGTTCTTGTTTTTTCTCTTAGTAATAAGAGGACAACGAAAATATATGTATCGTTGTATCCGAAAATGCTATTGGAAATGAGTTATTGTTTTTGGAGCATGCAATAGCAACGCTGAGTTTGATTTTAAATTTTTTACAGTTCTGCGTTCATGTACAAATAAGGTGATAAACGAATTTTTTACTGGTATATTACATGCGTGGTTCTTAGTGGAACGTGCTCAATATCTGTGATAGTTAACATATTCAGTTGTATGAATATTAGTTTGTAACAAACACAGAAGATAATCTCCCCGTCCACGACGCACAAATAATCAAACACAAATAAGCATAAATAGATCTACTCTAAAAAAACATACACCATTTTGTCTGATAATCGTAAATGTGTGAAACCCAGTGTCATAAACTAATATCCATACAACTGAATATAATATCTATCTATCTATCTATCTATCTATCTATCTATCTATCTATCTATCTATCTATCTATCTCAGTCTGTTCATATCTCTCTCAAACTGTTCATATCTATCTATCTATCTATCTATCTATCTATCTATCTATCTATCTATCTACTCTGTCCGAAAGTAATTTTAATTAAATGTATGAGCCTAAGTAAAAATCATAAATTTAAAGGTTGATTTTTTGTTGTTGTTGTTGTAGTCTAGTTGAGCTTGGTTCATTACAGTATTTTTACCTGCTGGCATCTATATATATGTAGTCTGCAGTGTTTTTTGTAATACTCCATCCATTTTGCTTTCATACAATAAACCAATTCCTTAGAATGTATTTGCTGCCTGTCTACATTGAAAGTAATAATTTCCACAAGTATATAATGAAAACTGTTCGGTCGTATATCCAAGCCCTATGTCCGTGATATGGGGATAGGTTTTAATAAAAGCATCACATAGCCATGTAAGTGGGGCCCAGTTAAAAATACGTTCCGGTTGTGTCATCCAGTCGGCTCTGACGGCCTCCAATTGACGATGTCCCGAAGTATCTACAATTTGACTCCCAAGTTACTTTGGCTGACTCAACCGTCACACTTATAAAAAAAACGACCCTCTCATGATGTTCCCTAACTACTCCCATTAATAAATAGGGATGCAATATTTTATTAAAGCTATTTTTCTCAAATACTTAACGATGCAGTTCGGGAATTTTCATTTTCTTTTGAAGTCGTGGAAATAGTAAGAAGCTTATTTATGCATTTAATTAACAATTAATTCATCAGATAATTCATTTATTGCTAAATAATGATTATTAAATTTGTCGTTGTCACTTGGATAACAGATATTATTTTCCTCTGTATCAGTTGGTCCATGAAAACCTTAACACAAGATCAGACTTGAACATCTATTGTGACTAACCAAGGCCGACGGCAGTCGGGATCATGGAGTAACTGTGAACTCCACTATCCTTTCATTAGCTGCATATAGTAAATTCTTTGTCAGGACTACGTACGTGTTTTGAATTCAGTGTTGTCCTTCCCTTAGACTGGCTGCCAAGTAAGACTGAATAGCCCATTCTGTTTTACTATTTAACCCATAGTTGGGGGTGGGGAGGATGAATTCATACCTGTCCCTAGGGGATTTGAGCAAAAGTGATTGTAACAAACTCGACTGGAATTCGGACCGGCTATCTGATTTCTCATTGTTCGGTCTCTCAAGTTTTATTTGAATTCTTTGTTTCAAACAGAATTATGCTGTAAAAAGAACATTTTTGGTGGGGAAGGGAAGGGAAGAGAAGAGAGGACGTCAGATCTCTAAACCCTAGTATTATGAATGTCCCAAATGAAAAATCACAGGTCTCTAACTCCGACGTGAAATTTGAAAGAAATCAATGTTTATTAAATGGCATGAATAATAATAATAATAATAATAATAATAATAATAATAATAATGATGATAATAATAATAATAATACTGAATACAAAATTTACAAAACTAACTTGCACAACATTTTTCTTTGCGTGCCAAACACTTACGCAAGATAACAAGTTCCGATTACAATTCCGTTGGGCTCATAAATTATAATTATTATCAACAAAATGTTTACTAATTTCGATTCTCTCCATCGTTGAAAAGAGTTGAGAATGATTTACAAGTGTCTCTGGGTTTCCTTTAGACAATAATTCAATTTTATAAGCTGAGATAAATCTCGAATTTTCATAAAAAGTTCAAAACCAAGGTTAATACCTCGAATTTTATGATAAACTTTTACAAATAACTACAGAAGTTAATCGCATATGACACTAAATTTGTAGAAAATTATCCTTTCTGCGTTTTTTCTTTCGGCTTCTGACTTTTCTTTTTTTATTCTTTTCTTTCTTTCTTTTCTTTCTTTCTAGTTCAGTTAATTTTATTTAGTCGACGTTGCCTTTTAGTCTTTCTATTGTTCAGATCCCAGAACCAGTCGACGTCTTCCTTGTGAATGCTCAAAACTCTTTTTTCTTTTTCTTCTTCATCTAACTTCATCATCTATCAACTGACAAATTTCGCCTGTGAAAAGCAAATCCCTTCTGACTGCCAAAAAAGCCAAACTACTTAAACAGTCACATGCGTGTGTGAGTAATATATATATATATATATATGTGTGTGTGTGTATATGTGTGAATATATATGTATGTATGTGTGTGTGCCTATATGAGTATATATATGTATGTGTCTATGTGCCTGTATGAGTATATGTGTATATATATATATATATATATATATATATATATATATATATATATATATATATATATATATATGTGCGTGTCTATATGTATGTATATTTATATGCACACAACGGGGAGAAACAAA